CTGACGATATGATTGCATACTTAGGAAATCCTCCCTCTTCCCTTCCAACCCCCAGAAAACACTTGGAAAAGTGATTGAATAACAAATACACCAAAAAAATTTCAGTTTCTATCTATTCTGGTAATAACCAGCTAAAATAGACAGAAATGTAAGAACATATTCCATTCACAATTGCAACAAAAACCATGAGAATAAATTTTAAATTTTATTTTTAGTTAAAAGTTAATACTAATACATGGTAAAAAAAATTTCAAAAGGTATGAAAAAAAAAATCCATGGTAGAAAGACTTTACCTATATCCCCAGCCACTGACTTCCCCTACAAGAACAACAATGCTATACAAATGAGTAAATGTTGTGTGTGTGTGTGTACACATATCCTTCCTTCAAACACAAACAATAGCATACTTTAGCACACTATAGTGCAGTGCCACTTGATTTATTGATTGTACAATATAGCATGAAAAGCCTTTCATTACAGCAAATAAAGAGCTGATTGCATATATCTAAAGTATATTGCCTTGGATTGTGTCCCCCCAAAACTTAACTCCCACTGTGACAGTGTTAAGAGGGTGAGAAATCCTGTTTTGGTAATTGAAAGGTGGGGTCATGAAGTGGTGATTGGATTGTAGAACCATGCCATAGTGAATGGATCAATAATGGTGGTCAGGGGTGTAGTTCTGAGATCTTTAAGAGAAGAGTTCATGAGAGGTTAGTTTTTCTCTGCTCTGCCATTTTCTGCCACGTGAGATACCTGGGTCACTGTCATCACTACCAAGACCCTCACCAGATATGTTCCCTGGATTTTGGACTTCCCAGCCTCTGAAAGTGTAAGCAATAAATTTTGTTTTCTTTATAAATCATCCAGTTTTGTGGGTTGTTATAAGCAACAGAAACAGACTTATACATATACAGTCGGATAAGTTTTAACATATGTTTACACTGTGATACCATTGCCAAAATTAAAATGATATATATTGATCACACCCAAAAATTTCCTCATGACCGTTCGTAATTTGTCTTTCCCATCCTGCTATCCTTCCTCATCCCACTTCCCTAAACAACAATAAATCTATTTTTTGTCAGTATAGATTATTTTTCATTTCCTAGAATTTGAAATTAATGGAATATTATGTTAAAAAGTTCAATCATACCAAGCACTAGCTAGAATGTGGAGCAACTGGAATTCTCAAATATCACTGGTGGAAATGTAAAGTAGTACAACCACTTTAGAAACAGTTTAGCAGTTTCTTAAGAAGCTATACATCCACCAGCCATATGATATATAGTCTTCTCCTCCTAGATCAATAGAGAAATGGAAACATGTGTCTATTAATGTTCAGAGCAGCTTCACTTGTAATAGTCAAAATACAGAAACAATCCCAAATTCCATTTAACAGGCAAATGAACTGTGGTACACACACACACAAACACACACACAATGGAACAGCACTCAGCAATAAAAAAGAATATACACTACAACATGGATAAATTTTAAAATAATTATGTGTAAGAGTGAGAGAATTCAGGCAAAAAGAGTACTTTTCTATTTATATAAAATTCCATTTATTTACTGATCCAAAAAATCTTTGCCTAACCCAAGGTCACAAAGTTTTTGTCCTCTGTTTTCTTCTGGAAGTTTTGGGTTTTATATTTGGGCATGTGAACTATTTTGAGTTGTTTTTGCATGTGATATGAGATATAGGAAAGTGTTTTGTTTTGATTTTGTTTTGCTTTGTTTTGCATATGAATATCCAACTGGTCAGGCACAATTTGTTGAAAAGACTACTTTTCCACTGCTGAACTGCCTTTGCAAATTTTCAAAAATCATTTATCCACATATGTGTGTATTTTTTTCTTGATTCTATTCTGGTTGCTAAATATCCATGTTTAGTTGTGGTCTACAAATATATGACTACAATGTATGACAAGTACTAAGTTATAGAAATGGCAGTAATCCCACATGTTAAAAAAGGAAAATCCCACATGTTTGAAGTGATCATGGATGGATTCTCAAGGAAAGTAAGTGTTATGAACTGAATTCCTCCCCCCCCATTTCATATGTCGATGTTCTAAATCCCAGTGTGATGCTGTTTGGAGATAAAGCCTTTAAGGGAGTTAAGGTTAAATGAGTTCTTAACAGTGGGATCCTAATCCAATAGGATTGGTGTTCGTATAAGAAACAAAAGAGACACTGGAGAGCTCTCTCTACATATGCACAGAAGAAAGGCCATGTGAGGACATAGCCACAACAAGAAGGTGACCATCTGCAAGCCAAAAAAAATAGCATTTACCAGAAACTAACCCTGATGGCACCTTGACCTTGGACTTCTAGCCTTCAGAACTGTGACAAAATAAATCTCTGTTGTGTGAGCTACCCAGTCTATGGTATTTTCTTATAGCAGCCCAAGCAGAATAGCACAGTGGGATTTAAGAAACTCTTAAGGATCCTGAAACAGAAAAAAAAAAAAATCCCTACTGACTATGTTTGTGGATCTTTAGTTCCACTAGTTCCTGGAACACTGTATTAAAGAGGAAAAAGGCCTCAACATAGATGCTTTCAATGATAATAGCTTTGTTTCTTCATACATCTGACAGCATTTAATTGATCCAGTGCAGCCTTTCAGGAATAAGGGGGGCGGGGCACTTTGATATGTTTTTTTCCAGAGAAACTTGCAGTCTAATTAATATAAATAATTATTATTATTAGAGGAAATGTGCATAACTTAATGAGAGCAGGTTAGTAGAATCACCTTTGTATACAAACAAAATTATTTTTGAGATTGTAGCATCAAAAGAAGGTGGTGGGTTAACATTGAGGTGATATATCTAGGACAAATGATTTCATATTAATATTGCAAAAACAGAAAAATATAAGTCTCTTTAAAAACAGGAACATCTAAAATTGCTGAGAGTTTATAATGTAAAAGAACAGAAAGTACACAAGGAATTCCAAATTAAAATAGACTATCTTAATACTATAAATATGAACTGCTGATGAGAAAAATTAACTTCTGTTGGGGGCTATGAAAGGAATTCTTAAAAGAGATGGATGGAATTTGACATGGTCTTAAAAACTAGTGCTTGAGAAAGCAGATGTGGTAGGGGAAGCCTCACAGGCAAAGGAGAGAGCAGTGGCAACAGAAAGGAGGAAAACAAATGCTGAGCCTGAGGAGACTGTGGAGGCTAAAGAATTGAGGTTTTGGGAAGCAAGAGGGTTGGTCAAGAGAAAAGGCTGCAAAGCCTTAAGAGCTACAGACAAATTCTGTATGAATATATTTTCCAAATCATTATGGGATTATAAAATACCTTTCTAATGAATTAGAAGACACATTTTCCATAAAAGCTCTACATTTATCTTTATTATTTGACATTCTTTCTTACGTATTTATATATGGAGTATCTACTATCCACCTGGAGTTGAAAATTCTCCTACCCTTCAAGAGCTCAACTTTAATGAGGGGAGATAGTCAAAGCAGACAATTGCAATTTAGTGTATGATCTAGTAATGGCAAAACTACCTTCAGGCAATACTAGGCAAACAGGAAATAAGCAGCTAATCCATTTCTACCCATTAAGAGAATACCAGTCCAAAAACACATTAAGTAAATGCCAATGCAAATAGAAGTCTGAGCTGTTCTAAGTGGAGTATGTATCGATGAATTAAGAGCACAGGCTCTGGACAGGGCAGATTTCTTAGACAATGCTCAAAAGCGGGCCTTGGTTAAATGTCCTTTGATCAGTCTTGAAATTATTATTTTATCTTTGAATTTGAGTTTTGTAAGTGAAGTCCAATGGGACAATGAAACACATGCCAAGGGCTTGTAGTCCCAGATCATGTGTGGTCCTGCCCCCCGCAGCCTCCCCAGATGGGTTCTCTGCCCTCCTGCTTTCCTGTCCCCACCCAGTAATTGCTGCCCCCTTGCCTCAGTGCATGCACCCCTTCCAGAGTCTTGGGGCAGGAGTTCCAGGTACCTTTGAGGGTCTGCACTGGCACCCCAGTATTCCTGTGCTTGACGGAGAACCAACATTAAATAGCAAAAACACCATGATGAGTGAAGAGATACCGTGGAAGAAAGAAACTTAGTTCTGCTTTTTGAAAGAGGGTCCCAGGGTTTCATTTTGCACCGACCCCACAAATTATGTAGCTGGACCTGAAGTCTTGTAGCAGTGGACAGCTCCAATATGGTAACTCTGGGCAAGACACTTGGCTCCTCTGAAGTCAGTTTCCCCGTGGTAAAATAAGAATAACAGTTCCTATCTCGTTGGATTTCTGTGAAGATTTTGGAGCTAATTCATATAGAGTGTTTTGTCCAGCACTTGACTCTTTTTAATGGTCAGTACTAGAAGATGTTAACTTTTAGTTATTATCTTATATTATTTAATTCGGATTCACTCCCTTATGTCTCCTCTGACTGTAGGTTAATATTTCAAAACAGTCATTCCCACAGGAAGTAGCAAGTGTGCCTCATAGTTTTGTTCAAAATGTTTATTACCTAAATTTAAACCTTTCTACGGTGTGCAGGAAAACATATACATTCCTCAGCTATAATGTGAAGCTGAAAAAAAAAAAGCTGTGAGCTTCTAACACGGAGTTTGTTAGAAGCGCAGAAATGTTCACAAATTTGATAGACCAAAAAATCAGAGCAAATATGTCTCTCAAGTGCTTTACCCTTTCACAAAAGCTCTTTCTCCCCTCAGAGGAAACAAAAACGAAGGCCCCTATAGCTCCGGGCCCCGTCTACAAAAGAACAAAATAAAATCAACATCTTGAAAACCTAAGGTCTCAGCTAACAACAGCCGACACACCGCTCTCTGGGCCCCTGCCCGCGCCTGGTTTCCATAGGAACGAGCAATTCCGGCGCGTCACCCTCTGAGCCGGAAGTTGTTCTCCCTCAGTTCCATTTTTCCACACCAAGCGTTGGCGCAATCCGGCGGTGGATGAGTTTTGGGCTGAAGAGGCCGCCGTTGAGGGGCGTGGCGACGCAGCCGTGGTGTGGTGGAGTTCACGTGCGAGCAGCGGCGGATCCACTTTCTCTACCTACCATGGCGCAGCCAGGACCCATGAACCTCAATAACGAGGTAAGCGCCGAGGTCTGAGAACCTACGGGGCTGACTTTGAGTGCCTTCAAAACCAGGTCCTTTGCGTATTTCCGACGGACGCTGGGCGGGGGCGGGGGCAGGGCGTGCGGCTGGAGGAGTTTCTGGATGGGCCCAGGCAGATTTCCCGGACCTCGAGTTTGGCAACCGGGGTAATTCCCTTTCATGAATTCTAGGTGACTAGGTACGAGACATGTCTCTGGCTCCCAGACCCTGCGATTTTTTATCTATGGGGCTTTGGGAAGACCATTTAAACTATGCTCAGTGTCCTCGTCTGTAAAACGAAGCTTAGAATAGTATCTTCTTTACAAAGTTGTTGTGAGAATTGAGAAATGTAGAGTGTTTGCACAGTGCCTAACGCTTAGTAAATTCTCAGTACACATTACCAGCATTTTGTTGACTGTCGAAAATGAAGGTGAGGGATTAAGAGCTATAGCTTCTAAGAAATTACTGATATTCAATGAGACCGTGTACACTCAGTACCCTATTTCTTTCTGCATTTTCTGTGTTATTTCTCTGCATCCATTTACACCAAAACTAAAAGAAAGAGTTGTTTATACTTGCTGTCCCTAATTCCCCTTGTCTGGTTCTTTTCTCAATCCAGTGTCATCGTCAGACATTTGCCCTCACCACCACCTCCACCATAGAGTGTTAACGTTATCAGGCTACTATTTCTGCCATTTACCCCTTTCCAGTTTTTGCTTCTATTCAACAAACTAATAAGTCTTCTGAAGTCTTGAAAGTCTGGAAAAGTGAGGATCAAATGAGGACCTCGCAGCTAATACAGCAAAGGAAGTTCCTTATCCTCCTTATTATGTGGATATATAAATGTCCACTATGAACAAGTCACTGTTCAGGTTACACAGTTGTTTAAGACATAACTTTATATTTTCTGGTAACCTGTACTCAGGTGGGAAAGTTTAAGTAACATCAACCTATGGTACACAACAATGTATGAAGAATACCCCCCGCCCCCCCAAAAGTAAAATGAAGTGAGTGGTATTTGTCTTTGGTCTTTAAGGATTTTACAGAGGAATTGTAGTTAAGTGATTATGTAAAGGGGAGAAAGGCATTCCGGGCAGAGGGACCAGCATAAGCAGGGAAGGGTGGTATATAGATCCCTTGGATGGTATAGGGATAGGTACTTCCTTGGCGCGAACTTGTGTGATGAAGTAGGAAATAAAACTGAAACATATTACTGCCTTACTGCCAGATTTATGAGTCTAGATTTAAGTGGGCAGTGGCATACAGTTCTCTTCTCCTCAGTCCATTTAGTACTTATTCCTACTTTGTCATTTTCTTAGGGAGACCATTCTTGGCTATTATTTACCCCTTTTATAAGGTTTTGTAGCACCGTTTAATTTTCAGCACTTATGTATGTGACTGTGTGATAGATTTCTTATCCCCTCCTCCTGACTAAATTTTTTCTTACTGTCGTATCCTCAGTATCTATCTGTTGAATGAACAACGTGAGGCATCATTTTTATGATCCTTAATATCTTAGGTTAGCTCTTCTTAACTGGGATTTAGGGATATATTTCAGAGGTGCTGTAACTGCCTGAAATTATTTGTAAATTTGTGTTAATATGTCTGTCTCTGTGGGGGAAAAGAGTCCGTACATTTCACCAGATTTGCAAATGTTTATAAATGGCTGTGGTATTGTCTTTGAGATATTGTTACTCACAGCTGTGATTTATTTATAGGAATCCTTGTTTTATAGCTATAATTAAAAACTATATGGCAGTCTAATTTTACAATATATTTAATTTTTCAGAATGTCTTTTGTGAAAATAAAAGCCTGCCTGCAGAGCTACCCATTATAGTATGCTAACTTTCAATGTTTTTTACTCTTAATAGTTCTATTCTTATAAAAATTTTCCCAAGGATAAAGACCAAATACTTCTTGGCTCCGGGTTTTTAAAATACAATTATTCTTGTGAAGTAAAGTAAAATTTTACCTTTACTTTTTAAATAATAAATTATTACTTTTTACTTCATCTTATGATTATTTATTGCATGTTTTATCCTCCCTGGTACTTTATGTATACTTTGAAGGGAGACTATTTAACTCCTTTATTATAGCAACTATCCTAACTTCTAGCATAGGAAATTGTCTGCAGATAATAATAAGTAAATATATATTGGGCAGATGAAAGTATGGTTACCACAACTTGTGTTAACTAATGTTCAAATGAAGGGGAAAAATCTCTTAAATGTAGACTTTTCCCTTTTGCCATTAGAACTAGAGAAGGAAGAATGCACAATTGAAAACAACAGTGCTCTAGCATTTAGAGAGTAAAGAATTTGCAAAACTAACCAGGATTTGTTCCGGTCATCTGTTTCTTTAGGCAGTAGTGAATGAATGTAAAATCAGAATTAGGAGATGAAACAGTCTGGTGGAATACTTTAATTCCATAGGAGGGGCAAGTGTCTTTCTATAAAACTGACGTTTTATTCTTTGATAGCAAATTACCAGAAAGACATTGAAAAATTACTTTTTTTTTCTTATAGTAAAGGTAGAAACTAAAGTGCCAAAGAACAAATTGACTTTTCTGCACATATTATAAAAGATAAAAATGTCAAGAACCATGTTTGTATTGCTTATGAAGCTATAAAACTCCTGTGTCATGGGCCGGCCCGGTGGCGCACCGGATAGTGCGCCGCTTGGGAAGCGCGGCGGCGCTCCCGCCCGAGGGTTCGGATCCCACATACAGACCGGTTCCCGCTCACTGGCTGAGCGATGCACGGGAGCAGCACCGAGGGTTGTGATCCCGTTGCCAGTCCCCGGTCCGGTACGGGGGCAACACTGAGGGTTGCGATCCGTTGCCGGACACGGAAAAAGACAAAAGACAAAAAAAAAAAAAAAAAAAAAAACTCCTGTGTCATAATTGGATGCATAGTACTTTTTAATAATTTTTCTGAAATAGAAAATTAGGGTCCATCTATAAGGAGAGAACCAATTTATTGGGTTGTTAAACTCTTATGGAAACTTTTGCTAGGTGGCAGCATATGCTCAGTAAAGGTGAAGTTGTAGATAATCACTAAGCACTCTAGATTTCTTAAACTCTTTCTCGTCAGAAATAAAAAGAAGTATAATTTAACGGTAAGTTGCCATCTAAATGGCCAGGTTAAAGTCCTCTTTATAAAATCATAATTAATTTTAATGATGAAATACTTCAAACATATGCAAATAAACAAATGTCCTTGTAATTCACTTTCTATATTTAGTAAATATCTGTGCTTAGCTATATCTTGCTGTTCAAATCCACCCACCTTCTTTTCCATTTCACAGATAATTATTACTCTTTTGGTGTGTGTTTTTCTCACGTATATTTTTGTAATTTTAGTGACATATATATGTATCTATACCTGATGTATAGTATTGTGTTTTATGTTTAAACTTTAAATGTGTAGTATCATACAGTATAAATGTGTTATACGTATCATTTTACAAGTTATTTTTTTCAGCAGACATCATTTTCAAAGTGCACATCTCCTGCATTGATTTAAAATACTACGTTGCTGTGTGCTCTATTTATATACAATATTTTATCTCTTGTACAATATTTTATAAGAATGCTGCATTGGATAATCTTGTGCCTTGCCTTTTTGTATTGTTGGAGCTGTGTCTTCTGGATAGATTCCTAGAAGTAGGATTTTTGTTAGGTATTGCCAAAGTTTCCTCTGGAAGGAGAATACCAGTTTGCATTTCTACCAGAAGTGTATGACAGTGCCTGTTTCCTCACAGCCTCACGAACAGAGTATGTTGTCATATATTTTTTTTTTTTTTTGTATTTGCCAATCTGATAGGTAAGTAATGAATAGCCAGATATCTTAATGTAGTGTAAGAAACACAAATATATACTTATATTCTTATATATGTTCTTTCTCACTGCAAGCTCCCCTAAAACAATACTAGCTCTTGGAATAACTGTTTTGTACTAACCACAGATTTTTGTTATAGTTTAATTCAAATACGTTGTAAAGTCAGGGCATTACCAATAGAGCCTTGCTAGTTGACTGATTAGCAGATAGCCAGCCAAGAATCAATTCAAAGTAGCATTTAATTCTGTCTGTGAACCAAAGTCTGCTGTCAGCTTTGTATATCAGAAACTTGCTGTTATTGTAACCCCAAAAGTATAGCTCATTCACTCAAAAACAAATTCACATTAAACAAAAGCATATAAAAGTGTAAATGAGAAAGCTAGTTTATTAAGAAATATCAGGAGTCTTCAAAGATTTCATGAAAGGATTCATATTATCTTTTAACTTCATTTTTCCATGAACTTTTTGAAGTACCCTCATATATCTAACATAGATAATAATGCCAACATTGTAAAACACATTCTTTGCCTGTCTACTGATCATCATCAGCTGCTTGGAATATAGAACTACAAGAAGGGGTTTTAGTTGCATGATTCATTCTTGGGTTATGATGCATCTATCCCTGTAATTGAGTTATTCCAGAATAGATTGGATTTCTCAAGTCTCTGAACTGGAGAACCCTTTTTTTGGAATTTCCTCAAGTTGTACACTGCCAGCTTTTGCTTCTTTGTGGCTTCCTTTCCTGTGTTTATGTCGACTCTTCCCAATCTGTTCACATGGTCTTTTCCCGAACAAGTCTATTAGGTTTCCACTTTATTTATGATCACATTTTTGTACTGTCTATCCAAGAGGCATCCAGGTTGTTCGGACTGCTTTCAGATTTTACCAGGTTAACTCTTAGGGCATCTATATGCCTGAAGTTCTAGGTAACACTTCACTGTCCTCACATATATATTCTGTTTACAAGTCTTAACTCCTTTTCTTCTGACTGTCTTAAATGCATTCTTTTGCTGTTTGGAATCCCTCAGCTTGAGTTTATTGGTCTTAGTGGTGATGGCCTACAGATTTTTTTTCTTCAATTTCTGTCTTCAAATTCTTTCCTTCTACTTCTCTTTCATTTTGTTTCTTCTCTGTCAGTATATTTTATTATCACAATT